TGTGAGTATTCCGGGTAGAGGGTGATGATAGGATTTAGAAACGCTCCACGCCTTAGAAGTTAGATGGAGTCCGTTTGCAGATACATCCGGGTCATGTGAAGGGATACCTCACATCCATCTTTTACGTTGACCCCTAATTGATTCGCGCAAAAGTGATTGGATATTGTGAACTACTAGCTTGGCGGTTAATCAGCGCCAAGTAGTTCCAATATCGATTGGGCGAATATCTTTTTTAGGTTTATGGAGAGCGATGAGTTTAGCTCCGTATATTAGTGTTATAATGGCGGGTGGTATGTCTCCAATAAGCATACGGTTGATTAATTGGATAATTTTTTCTAAAACGTCACATTGTTGTGTTATGTAAGGTGCGGTTAGGTCCTGTGGAAATATTGGGCGAAACCCATCGAACCCAGGTGAGGAATCGCGTTTGAAGGAGAGAATGGCCTTTCTAACATCGCTTGCGGTATAAGTGGCTTCAATTAGAGGAGCCTCAGGGTAAGTCGGTATTTCTTTCTTAAAATCTTGTAAGTGGTGTTTTAGGAGAAGAGCCTGATAAGTTGCTAGCTCATAGGGGCCAGCTTATTGTCGTAAGTTGCCAGACGTATAGCGGATTTAACATTCAGGTTGTTTAAAATTTTAGATAGCCTTGTCTTGGTGAGCAGGTCATTTTTGTGATTTATATTTTTATCTGTGTCATCACTCTTAAAAAATGTGATAATGTGTTTGATGGGTAAGGGGTCAAGGAAGTCAAGTTTTTCGCAACTTGAAGCCTTGCTCCCTTAGGTATTCGTGAAATTACCAATGGTTTTGGTGTCGTTAGAAATATTTCTACATTTGTGAAGTATTTGGAAATGCATTTTTATATGAAAAATTTTAACAAATATGATGTAATACAATCTTTAAATTTTCTAAAATTTTAGCAAATAATTTTTTAGCAGCCTCAATTTCATTTACTAATCCCTCTTCAGTAATATTGTTATCCAAAAAGATTTTAATTTATTTATGTGTAGAAAATTTAAATGGTCATTTGTTAATTTTTGTCTTAGGATCCCATTCTTCAATGTATTCTGTAATTATTATGTTTTCCAAGAACTCTTTTTTCAGGAACTTTCAGTTGGTAAAACCCGTTTTGTTATAGGTTTATTCGCCACTGTTTAAGTTATAGTTCTTACAAAGAAAGCAAAAATCTACAATTAATTCAACACATTTGTATTTATAAAACTTTAAAAAAATCTTCTTTCATCATTGCAATTTTTTTGAGTGATGTTGACCTATTTGGTATTACTTGATCTAGATCAGTTGGTTCTAAAAAATATTTGGAATAAGAATAACTAAAAGATCCAACCTCTTCTTTTTGTTTTTGGAACCACAGGCTTATTTTCCTTCTGAATTTTGGCGTCTATATCATTTTGATCTTCATCCACCAAATTAACTATGTATTTTCATTACAATATAGGGTGCTGTTAGTGCTACTACGTATTTCAGCTTGTGTTAAAAAGGATTTATATTTTAGCCAATAATATTATGTAAGCTTTTAGATTTTGCTCATAGATGGCAGCAAGGTTTTAACCTCTATTTCCTAAAATCTTAATCAGATCATTTAATCTTACTTTTTAGCAACTAATTTCAGCAGACATGAATGAATATATTTTTTAAACTGATAGCGGAACAGCAATTTTTTTCTCTTTACTTTCTTATTTTTAGAGAATTTATCCAAAAAATACTTTTTTCAAAAACCAAACGATTTTCTAAAAAATATTGAGGGGGGGGAGTGTTTGAAATTAATGGGGCAGCCCCCCCCCCAAGAAAGAAAGAAATAACAAAAAACTAAAAAAATATCGAGGGTAGGTAATATAGACTCACCAACAAGACCACTAATTACACTTAATGAAGTAATTTTATTTGTATATATAAATAGACTATTTAATTATATGCAATTAGGCTTATGTACAAATTGGCCAAGATAAGGGAGAAGAAAAGTCGCGATGTCGGAGTCCTTAAAATAGTCAAAAACGAGGAGGGTCAAACCCTATTCAAGCCGAAGGAGGTGATGGAAAGGCGGAAAGGATATTTCAAGGAACTTATGAATATTGTTAATGACAAAGATTTCCTTCCCTATATTGAGCCAAACATAAGCATGGTAGAACTTTCAGGAGGATGAAGTTAGGACGCAGAACAAGATGCAAAAGGTAAAAGATAATAGTGGCCCAGATGGAATTCCTATGGAAGCATGGGTCGGATGCCGAAAAGAAGGAGTCATGACCTTGACGAACCTCTTTAACAAGATGTTGGGAGAAGAACGAATTCTTAATCAATGGAGAGCAAGCACGATTATACCCTATTCAAAGGCAAAGGAGACCCTCAGGAGTGTGGTAATTACAGAGGTCAAGCTAACTTGCCACTCCTTATGGAAAGGATCTTAGTAACAAGGCTGAAGAACAAGGTGGAAATATCGGCTAACCAATTAGGATTTGTGGCCGGCAAATCCACAATTGATCTGATCTTCGCACTAAGACAAATGAGGGATAAATATGGAGAAAAGAAACCTACATATGGTCTTTATTGACTTGGAGATGTCATAATTTTTAAAGGGATCATGACTATCCGGGATCTTCACGGGATTTAAAGGGATCCCTTTAAAATTTCAATTTTTTAAAGGATAAAGAACTATACGGTAATATCACTGGGGCAGAGATTGACCTCCAGTTGAATAAATCTTTTGATTAGCTATCGAATGATACCCTATACTAGACATATCTTATATCATAAGGCCAAAAAAAACAAAATTGAAAATGAAAAACACAACGAAACTCGCGGAAAACGCTTTTAAAATAAGATTCCTCTTTATCACGATTAAAACGTGATAATCCCGTATTGACACCGTCCCTCGCGATTTAATATGGTGGTGCTTGAGAAAACAAAATATCCCTGATGCATATGTACGGCTTATGCAAAATATATATGAAGCTTCAACTTCTTGCGTTAGAACGACAGTTGGAGACTCTAAACCTTTTAGGGTTGAAATTGGATTACATCAAGGATCTGCTCTAAGTCCTTTTTTATTCAATATAATTATGGACACGATAACGAGAGACATCCAAACGCCATCTCCTTGGTGTATGCTATATGCCGATGATATAGTACTATGCGAAGAGACAAAGGAGAAAGTATTCTAAAAAGCCGAAAAGTGGTCAAAACGCTTAGCTGGATATGGTTTAAAGGTCAACAATCGAAAAACGGTATACATGGAGATGAACGTTACAGGCACCCCATCGCTGGATGACCAATTAAAGTACCCAAAAGTAGACAGGTTTACATACCTAGGCTCGATGCTACATCAAGAGGGAGGTTGCGCAAAAGAAGTCAATGGATCCAAAAAGGATGGCTTAAATGGCGAAGTATATTCGGTGTAATGTGCGACAAGAAGATGCCAATATGGTTGAAAAGCAAAGCTTACAAATTCATCGTAAGACCGGTGTTACTCTATGGAAGTGAAACATGGGCATACGCTACGGAAGAAAAGTTATTACAAGCCACGGAGATGAGAATGATACGGTGGAGCTTGGGGTATACTAAACTCGACCATATGACGAATGACTGTCTCAGAACAAAAATGAGTATTCAACCTATAGCAGACTTGATAAACGAAAATCGGTTAAGGTGGTATGGTCATATACTAAGAAGGGAGACGAATGATGTAAATCGAAAAGTATTGGACATGGAGGTGCCGGGGAAGAGAGGAAGAGGACGACCTCATGTTACGTGGAAAGATCAAGTAGACAAAGTTATGATGACTAAGAAGATAAATCCGGACATGGCCCTTACTCGATCAAGATGGAAGAAACTTATCAAAACAAACCCCACGACTGTGGGACCATATGCATGATAAAGAAGAAGATATTAAAAATAGAAATTATATTATATCCTTTTTTTGCTTAATGATGTTTATTGATTTTATATCTCCCATTATTCGACCTAATATTGTAAAAATATAAAGATGAGCTCTTGAAATGAAACAATGTATCTCTTGCAAAGCATTATTATAATATTATTCTAAAATATAGATTATAATTAAACAGTTATGTTTTATATCATTACTGTCTTTATATAATAATGTTAATAATTAATTTTACTTTAGATATCGCTTCAAATCATTGGGGGCCATTTATATCAAAATCTCACAACCATTCGTGTGATTTTAATAAATTGATAAAGTGAAATTAAAATCTCATAGATAACTTACACACGTTTCACCGAAACTTAATCTTTTAAAAAATATAGGCGGCTAAATAAGAACCCTTACATCAGAACCTAAGGAATTTTATTATCTAACAAAAATTTTATACAATTTTAAATATAATTATTTGTATTTTTTGGGAACTTATAGTCCCAATTCCATTTTTATAAAATGAGCGTTTTTCTATTATAGGTTATGATTGGAATATTATATGAATTAAATAATCAATAAAATAAAAAATATTAAAAAAAATAAATTATAATTATATGCAAATAGAATGTGAAAGATTTAATATTTCTAAAACTGTTCACAATATTTATAAATTTAAGGATATGATCAAATTCCACGCAAAAACATATTGAATCAAAACCATATTAACAAAGATAACATTTTAGTGTATTTCATATATTATATATTTTTATTTTGTCTACAACCATTTTATAATAATTTTATACATTCTTATTTCCTATAAGTTTGTGTATACATACATAATTTTACTCGTGATTTCGATGAATTAATAAAATCTAAAAATGGTTGAACATAGTAAGATATATTTTTTTTTAAAGTTAAAAGTCTTGATAAATTAGACAACTAGCTAAGTTAGGCAAAAATCGTGGTTTCAGTGGTCCCAAATTATAAAGATTTGACTATATATAGAACACTATTTTTAAATCATCGTTACCATTAAAAAATATGGGTAACATTAAATAAGAATACACTACCTAAATCCGGTTGGTTGTATAAATATTTACTTTGTTAAAAGCACGTGTTTATCTAGTTTCAACGAACACCTCCATAGAGCATCCATTAGGAACTCTCTTTACGAAGATACTCCCGAAAACAGGATATTGGCAAACGAAAATTTATACGTCCAATTTCTTAGGACGATCTACTTTTGCTTGTAAGATAACCTAAATCTCCTTACTCCTTTTATCTTTTTTAATATTTTTTTCGTTTAATTTTAATAAGGTTTTTTAATAACGGTCAGATGGATAGATTAAATTGGAATAAAAAATTATCTAAGGAAGATTGGAATGTGGATGATCTAGAAGTTTATCAAAATTTTAATTTTTATAAAGAATAGAAATAAATTCAATCCAAATTTTTTAAATGTTGGTGTATTTCAGAAGACCAAAATATTTAACATTAACATATTTAATTTTTCTATCCATTAAACAAGGTACAATGGTGTTTCAGAACAAGCCCTAGAGGCCCTAGAAGCTTTGAATACACGATCAACCTATCACCTCTACTCGAGAATACTTATGGTATAATTAATAATATAAAATGTTCATCTTTTTTTATTTTCATCTTTTGTTTTAGTATATAATAAAAACCTAAGAATTTGATCACTTTTGTTTTTTGTCCGAAACGAGAAGATCAAAAAAATAATATTTAGAATTATATATTTTTTGGCAAATCAAAGCAATATTTTCCACCGATGTTGGTAGCCCTTCCTAATTAACAGGACTTATTATAATTAAAATTTTACCTCAAAAAATTTTCTAATTCATAGTTCTTTTCGTAAACTTATTACAAACCAAGGAAGGGGGTGCCAGAAAAATAATTTAATGTAATTTAAATTAATTCGGTTTAACTTATAGAAGATTACTTCTCTTATATGTAAAATTAACTACAATTAAATATATTTAAATTTATTAGTATATTTCAACAATAAAACAAAATCAATTTTTTCCACCGATGTCGGTAGCCGTTCCTAATTATAAAAAAAGATTACTACTCTTATATGTAAAATCTACAATAAAAATATATTTAAATTTATTAGTGTATTTCAACAATAAAACAAATATAATTAAATAATATCAAAATCAAATCCATGTTGGATGATCTAAAATTTTGTACAAAAACATGGCTACAAATTACCCTTCCCAAAAAATATGGGGGACTTAGGCTACGCTCTTTATTCCTATCAATCGTATCATTCGTATCACCTTCCAATAGTAACCATAATTTACTCTGAAAAACCAGCCAAAGGTTTGTTACTTTATCTTGTGTTATCTAGCTGGTCCATACGTAACAGAGGGAACAAATTATCCTACAGTTAGATCACAAAAGGATTGGGCTATAGCTATCCTATCACGCTCCGTATTTACTTTCATGCAATGACGTAGCAGCTTGCAAACCTCTATTTATGGACAAATCCTGCCATGAATGGCTAGAGAACTATTCAAGCAAAACTAGTAGGTTACTTCTTACAGACGCCGAATTTAGTTATGCAGTGGCAATCATATTAGGTCTCAGCTCTATAAATGTCAAAGATGCGGAGCACATCCATTGTCTTTTATAGATACATATACATAGGGCATGAAAAAATTAATAGAATAATCCAAAATTTATTATTCAAAGATAAGTATCTTGCGAAGGAAAAGAAACTATATTATGCGTTTGTTGATTTGGAGATAGCATTTAACAAAAGTGCCACTCGAGGTTACTAGATGGGCCTTGAGAAAATCAGGTGTGGAGGAATGCTTGGTTATGGCAGTGATGGAAATGTATGCGGGAGCACAAACTGTAGTACGGACAGATGATGAAGATAATCAAAGCTTTGAAGAGGTAAGACCTCATTAAGGATCCATGCTGAGTCCATTATTATTTATCTTAGTAATGGATGTGGTGGCTAGAGAAATGCGAGAAGGACTTCCCTGGGAGTTATTATATGCAGATGACTTTGTATTAATGGAAAACAGTGAGGAAGAATTGAGGGATAAAATTAGTAATAGAAACAAAGGGCCTGAAAATGAATACATATACAGCAAAGACAACGGTGACTATTGGTGGGAAATCTAAAGATGGAGGAATCCGTAAGTGGTCTTGTGGTGTATGTGGGAAAGGAGTTGCTAGAAATTTAATCCAATGCACCAGATTCTAGAAATGGGTAAATAATAGATGTCGCGAGAAAAAAGGAAGTCTGATGTTAGCAAGAATGACCTTTATTTGTAGAACGTGCATAAAATGGATACATAATACTGATAACATAGAAAATGGTTTAGATATTGGCAATGGTTACCCACGAGAAAAGGGGATAAGTTTTGTTATTTGGGTGATATGCTAAAAGCAGATGGTGGTGTAGATTCTGCTGTTGTTGCTAGGGTCAGAAAAGCATGAAGTAGTTTAGAGAGATGTCGTCTATTCTAACAAATAAAAAAATTTCTCTGGTTAAAAGGGAAAGTATACGTAAGCTGTGTGAAAAGTTGTTTAGTTCATGGAATCATGGGCAATGAAAGCGACCAACCACGAAGCCAAATTTGAAAGAACAGAGATTAGGATGATAAGATGGATGTGTGAAATATCTCTGAGAGAGAGAAAAACTAGCAATGAATTGCGAGCAAGATTGGGTAGAAAAATAATTGGAGTAGTAATGCGAAGTAATAGACTAAGAAGGTTTGGGCATGTGGAACATAAGACAAAAGATGACTGGGTAAAGAGGTACACCTTGATAAGGATCAAATAAAATAGAAATATTTTATATGTATATGGAAATCAATTATTTTTATATTTTAATATTCTCTTATTTACCAGTATAAAATCAATATGAAATAATTATTAGTATTTTATTAAAAATATTTTAGTGTATAAAAATTAAAAAAATAATACTGAACTTTTTAATTTTTATCTATAGTATCATCCACATTTTGTATTATTTCACTACTTATATAATTATATATAATAGTTTAAAAATTTCATTGCTTCTTTAATTTCACTTGGTACTTTCTTTACATTATTTACCAAAATATACACCAAATCCTATTCAGATCACTGTCGTTTCCAACATTTTATCAAAATATTTCACCAATGGATCTCTTTTAACCCTATAACCCCTTTTACAGGTCTTACATTCTCATTTGTGATACTATTTAATGTTCATCGAGGAATAATGAAAGTGGTAAAAAATAATAGAGAATCATACCATTTCTATGGAGTGCTAGATTTAGCAGCATCCACTCAATGTGTTATTTTTCCTTTATAAAGGAATCTCTCAAATTCTACTATTTTAATTTGCATACTATTGGGGATGAATTAATTCTGGTAAATAATTAATAATTTATATAGGGTAATCTTATTTAAATAAAGATTTTTATTTTTTAATATATTAAAAGAAATATTAATTATTTTATAATTATAAATTAGTATTTTATTATTCAGATTTGTGAGGAAATGTCTAGTGCCCTAAAGGGATTAAGGATCATATGGATATATTTTTAAAGAAAAAACTTAGTGTGATTAGGGAGTATCGTGTGGATAATAAATACTAATAAGGGGAAATAAGATAGAAAAGAAGACTGAGGTTAATTTACTAGAAATAATAAGAATAGTTTCTAGTAAATTAAAAATATAAAATTTGAGTTTGACTTTTAGATTTAAAATCTTATATTGCTGATAATATTCGGCATGAAGGAATACATTTCCTCACAAATCTGTACAATAAAAATATAGTTCCTACCTTCAAAAATAAAGGGGATCCACACAATTGTCAAAATTACAAGGGCATAAAATGAATGTCACGCTGTCTTAAACTTTACGAAAAAATAATAGAAAAAAGGTTAAGAGACATAGTCTAAATCAGGGTTGGCAAGTCGGTCAATTGACCAGTCAAATTCAGTCAATTGACCGGTCAATTGACCGGAGGAGTATTTGACCTGTCAAATACGGTCAAATACTCTAAAAAATTTAAAGGAAAAATAAATTAAAAATATGTTTAAAAAAGGGAAAAAAGATGTAAATACATGTGATCACAATGTTTGCTTATTTTTCGGGTCCACAATATCAAGAGGAGAACTCACTAGTAGTGTAATTAATGAAGTATGTGATATAATTCAAGAATTAGCTATTTTACAAGGTAGTGATGACCAAAATATTTTAAGTGATATAATTAATTTCAGAAGCAAAAACAGCATGTTTAATATAGCAAAATATGTAGAAAGTAGTAATTTCCAGAAACAATCAATTCCGACCTCAAGTTAATAGATTAAACTTTATCTACGCTGCCCATTAAGAGACTAACAATTCCTAGTTCTACTTCTTCTTTAGAAAGAAATAGGTCGATTTGGGTTAATACTCTTATGAAAATAGAAATCGATTTAAGATCTAAGATATCAGGAAAATTGTTTAAAAAATATTAAAGAAAATGATAATATTGAATATGAATCAGAACAAGACTCTGATACAGATAGCTACACGTTAGTTATTGAATGAATTTAAAAAATTAATATTATAGATTCATTTTACTATTATATTCAAAATAAAGTTAATATTAACTTTAAAAAAATATATTTGAATTTGACCACATTTGACCGTATTTGACCATATTTGGCCGGTCAAATGCACAACCCTGGTCTAAATAGGAGAGACTCAGTTTGGCTTTATGTCTGGAAGATCAACGACTGATGCAATCCACGCAATTAGGCAAATAAGCGAAAAATACAGAGAAAATGATAAAAAGCTATACATGGTCTTTCTCTATCTAGAAAAGGCCTTTGATAGAATCCCAAGAAAACTTATCCTGTGAGCGCTACGCCACAAGAGGATTCCAGAAAAATATATTAGAATAATAGAGGATATGTATATGGGCCAAAATAGCTGAGTGAGTTCACCAAGGGTCGGCTCTCAGCCCACTTCTCTTCATAACAGTAATAGTTGTATTATCACAGTCTATACCACAAACAGTCCCGTGGAATATGTATTTGCAGATGATATTGTGATACTTGCCGAATCCAAAGATGAAAGAAAGATTAGTGAGTTGGATAAATATCCTAAAAAGCACGGACCAAAAGTAAACAAAGAAAAGACAGGGTATATGGTGATAGGAGATGAAACATAGAGCATTGATATAAATGAATGGCAGATATCGGCAGAAAGCTGCAAATATTTTGCTACACTATACAAACAAACGGCACAATAGAGAAAGAGATAAAGAAAATTGATCGAGGGTGGTTAAAGTGGAGATCTTTATCTGGAGCGCTTTTTGACAAAAGAATCCCTCACAAATTGAAGGGAAAAATTTACAGTTCCACAGTACAATCAACTATTCTATATGGTTCGGAAACATGGTCAACCAAAGAAGACGAAAAAAGTCTACAAACTATGGAGATGAGAATGCTGAGGATGATTGCTGGGGTATCAAGAAAGGTTAAGGTGCGAAGTACAAGAATTCTATAAAGTTTAAAGGTAGTACCTATTAAGACTAAGACAATAGTGAACAGACTTAGGTGGTATGGGCACACAATGAGAAGGCCTATAAACTATATAGGAAATAAGGTTAAGAGTTTGGAAGTGATGGGCAAATGTAAAAGAGGAAGGCCAAAACTTCAATGGGGCAATAAACTTCGAGCTAATATGAAGAATGTAAATTAAATAAAAGAGAGCATGAATAACATAAAGTGGAGAGAGATATTGAAGGAACTTACCACTAGAAAAAGTGAAAGTTAAAAAGGAAAAAAATTTATTAAAATTCATATTGAATATTAATTTACTATAAATAGTATTTAATTAAAAAATATATATTGATTAAAAATTCTAATTATAAAGTACTCAACATGAGGTAATGCAATATAAAAGTATTATTTACTTTTTATCACATAATGTCCATACTTCATCTACATAATATTTTAAGAAAGAGGAAGCGATTAAGATCTTTATATTTTAAAAGAACCGACCAAATGATAATAAGATGATCTTCATTCGTAACATCTCAAATTACTTTCTTATAAGGATAATTATATACATAATTATATAGCGCCTAAAATGCTAAAATTTTAAATCGAAACAAACATAAATATCTAACTTTATCCGAAATTATAAAATTAGGATTCAGGTTCTGCCTGGAAAAAATTATAATCTTACTGTGAAATTTAAAATCTATTCATTTACTGATTGTTTCTTTTTTGAATATAATCGATTCATTTACTGATTGCTCCTTTTTTGAAATTTAAACGTTCATAAATTTCATGTTTCCACTTGTTAATATTTCTTTAAAAAATCAATTATTTCTGTATTTTTTAATTGTCCAAGAATTTGAGGTAAGCACTATTAAATGGTGTTATATGCCTCCGAACCCATGATAGTAGATAGAAGTGTTGGTGATTTTACTCTTTCGTCTATAATATTATTCATCTGGAATTTATCAAATTGTGATAAGTATGCATGAATTACAGTGGATCTTGTAATTTCAAATATATACGACTACACCATGTTAATCTTGTATATCAATTATCTCAGGAAATTATATTTATTCTTTCAATAATCGTGATATATATTTCATAATAAACAATTAACTTTTAAGTTTAATTATAAATAAAAACAATTAATTTTATAATACGAAAAGGCTGAACTGAATTTATATACAAACAAATATAAACACCACCTGCAGTATATTTTTCCCGATCCCGGTCTAAATTTTCAACACTTGTATGGTGATTGCAAACCAAATATCCACATTGTGGGTCATTCCTTCAAAATTTATATTGGATCTAAATTTCCCCGTCCAGATATTTTGGCATACCTGTTATATTTTATATATTTTGAAAGGTTATAATATTCAACAACTTTATTTGAATATTTGCCATACAATAATATAACATATTTATATTTAATATTATATAAAAAGTCAGTTAAATTGAATACTTATTAATTAAATTGAATAATTATAGAATAGTATATATATATATACAAGAATTGAAAAGAAAAAACTATTAACTATATATTTGATTAAGCTTCTAAACGATATAAAAATACCAATTTTCTTTTTTCTTTTAAGGTATGTCATTATATCTAACAAAGCCCTAGCAGTATTAAATTGCCTAACATATAATTCTAGATATGAACATCACTAATTGTAGTATCAACTATATATACATACAAATGTTAAAATAAATATAATTCCTAAATACTGCACATATTCAATAGGTATGTATTTTTCACAAATTTCCATGAAATTAATTAAAAATCAAAGCTATTTATCATCACCAAACATATTTAAATAGCGTATACAAAAATTAATGTTAAAAATAATAAATTTGAACAAGTTTATAATAAGATATATGCGGTAAGCTTATTTTACATTCATAAATATTAAAAATTAATTTTTCTAGTTTTTTAATTGAATATTTACCATGCAGTATAGGTAACACCTTAAGAGTCAATAAGATTCTCTTTATATTTATATTATTTTCGTCATATTAAAAAAAGATGGTAGGATGCATCAAAAATTCTATCCTTCCGTCTCCCGCCATGATGTCTCAACTAAGTAGGTCCCTTAAGTACCGCCCGCTTGATCTGACCTCTTCCCCGTTGGCTCTCTATCTATCTTCCGTTCCGATGACGCACGCCCCCAAATCAGCCATAACCAACGCTTCTTTCAAGCTCAAAAAATTGCCTGGTTTATTACCAATAAATAACACATTTTTAGGTATATTATATTAGTTTCTTGCAAAAGCCCGGCACGACCCATGGAATTAAGAATATCTCTAACTAAAAATTATTATTTTATTCTCTATATCTTTTTCTTTGTCAACTACAATATTATTTCTCTGAAAGAGATTGCATAAAAATATAATATAATTAAAAAATTTATATATATATTTGAATGCAAAGAATAATTTGGTTCTATTATCAAGTCTAGTAACGCGTTTTCTTCCGAGAAGAAGTCTTTTTAGTGCTATTCTGTCATTTTGATAAGAACACTTCTTAATAAAATACGTGATTACTGATAGTGGTTGGCGAAACTCAACGCTTTTTTTATAAATCGCGATTTTAATCAAATATTTTAATTAAGGAGATTTAAAAATATCTTATATTATAATTTTTTTATATCAATATATTACCTTGCAAGTTAATGCTTCAAGAAGCGCGGTTAGGAAATTGTTCAAATAACATATTGATAAGCCAAGACCTAATTTAACCTTTTGTCAAATAAAAAACCATTGTCGAATATAAATTTAATGATATGGGCATAACCGTTTTTTAAAACAAACTAGCTAGTCATCAGTTAATCAGAAATAAAGTCATTCAATATATTCTAAATTGATTTTTTATCAAATGAAAAGCCGTCAGTCAAAAATTCGATATGTACCAAGAATTTTAAAAAATTTAACTAATCGATATCATTGAGTCGTAAGAACATTTTGAAACGAATAATATTATGAATATCCTCAAATAAAACTGTTAAACCAAATTTAAAATCTTATTTTATACTAATAAAATAATGTTAGTTTATTATTTTTAATTTTAGCTATTGTTATTTCCAAATTTGATTTCCTGATATATTTGCACAATTTAAAAAGCTAAGGTAATATTAAGGCATTTTTGGATTCCGTTCCCGTTCGGGACATATATATAGCGTTCCACCTTCGAAACTTTCTTTAACGAGTTCTTTATAAAATACCAAATTTTATTTAAAAAGAAATGAGTAGGGAGGGGCACAAAATTTTAAGCCAAAGGAGAACGAAAAGTGTCGTTCCTTTCGCGTTCTATCGTTTTCCCAAAGATCCATTCCTCTTTGATTAATACCCTTAATTTTCAAAAATCGTAATTATAAGTTTTCTGACAATTGTTTGATGAATTCCCAAAATCAATAATTCTTCGCTCTCCTCTTTCTATTAGAGGTTGGTTTATAAATTATATTATGAAAAATATATTTTAATTAACCTTTGAAGATAAATCATTTATTTATGTGCAACACAATATTTTACAACTTAATTTTTAAATTGTTTATTATATATCAGGAAATTTTGATAGAAAAGGATAAATATATATAATTTTTGAAATGAATTTAAAATTTTGTAGTTAATAAAGCATTATATTAACATGGTTGCAGTTAAAACAAAATTGAATTGTTTATTTTATTATGAATTTGTATACAAAGAAGAAATTATATTTTATAATAAAAAGTTTAATTTCTGACTAAATTACTACTAATATATGTTAACGATAATACAAAAATATTTGTCGAAATTACTACAAATGAACTAAATATACTTCAAAGATGGCGCAATCGATAAAAAGTCTAACGGATTCAAACCTGTAAAGATTGGTACGACTTAGAATTTAAAAACATACAACCAAGTTTAACATCATCACAAGAAAAATCAGTTATTAACAACAATAGGATGTGATACTTACAAAATTTAATTTATTTGCACCTGATAAGAGGTATAAGAAATACATAATATTTTGATCAAATTTGTTAATCCCAAACCGAATATAATAGTAGAGAGATATAATTTTTATCAATATAATCAAAAAATGAGGAAAAATTAATAGACTGTATGCAGAATCTTCGAAAATTATCAAAGACTTGTGAATTTTGAAAATATTTTAATACTTCTTTAATAGATAAATTTATATTTGGACTAAAAATTCCTAAAATATTACAAAGATTATTATCCGAGGATGATTTAGATATAAATAAGGCTATCAAATAGCTACTGCAGTAGAAACAGGTATAATTAAAACAAAAAAATGAAACTACAATTTATCAGTTAGAAGATGAACATAATAATATAAATATAATTAAAAAAGTTAATAATGATAATGATAAACAATCAAAACAATATAATAATTATAATAAAATCTACAAAAAACCAAATCCCTGCCACTCCTGCGGCGAAAATTCGTCCTTTCAAGAATGCCACTTGTTATAAATGTAACAAAATTACGCTCATTGCTCGAGTCTGTAGAAAAGATAGTGAATTTTATTAATAATACAAGTGAATATAATCCAGAATTTTAGGTGGATATCAAAATAAACAACCACGATATCAGAATGGAATTAGATACTGGAATGGGGTAACTATAATAAACGAAATAGATTGGGAAAAAACTTAATAATCCAGGATTAACAAATAGCATGCTACTTAAATGCTATACAGGTACCAATTTACCACTACTAGGTCAGACTATAGTAAAAGTACAATATAAAGGACGAACATTTGAACTATCTCATAATTACAAAAGGATATACAAAAAATCAAATTGGAAGAAACTGGATAACTAAATTTCCAAAAATGACTGAAATACCTTAAAGGGCCATACAAATAAATCATTAATATCCAAAATGAATTTCCTCGATTATTTACCAAATAATTAGGCTGTTTGAAAGATTTTAAGGCACAAATATAATGAAAAACGAGAAACCAAATTTCTGTAATCACGTCCCGTACCATACGCAATATCAGAAAATGTTGAAGAAGATTTAGACAGATTTAATCATTTACTTTATGCATCACCCATAGTAATTGTTCAAAAGAAAGATAAAAAATTAAATTTGCGGGGATTTTAAAAATACTATAAATCAAAATATTAGTATCAATTCATACGAAATACCAAGAATACAAGATTTATTAGCCAGTTAGGGAAAAGGAGAGGAATTTTCAATATTGGACCTCTCAATTGTGTAGAGAATGGGTCACAAAAATATCTTGTATACAGCATAGAAGATTATTTAAATATACAAGACTACTTTATAATATTATAATAACCAGGAACAAATTTAAAAAGGTACTAAAATATCTAGACAAAAATGGTATCACGCGAAAGATGGAAAAATATAAATTATTTAAACAAAATGTCGAGTACTTAGGACACAATATAATAAAACACGAGATTACAACTACAGAAAAAATTACTAAGGCAGTAAAAAAACCGCCAGAACCAAGAAGCCTATAACAATTGCAGTCATTTCTAGAGTTAGCAACATTTTATCAAAATTTATTTCAAATTTTGCAGACAAGACCAAATCATTATACAAATTATTAGAAAGAGCAGTAATTTGGAGGAGGACAAATGAATACAAAGACGCGTATAAAAAAATAAAGCAAGAAATAAGTAGTACTCCAATATTACAACATTATCATACAAAATTATCCATTATATTAGCAACAGATGCATCAGTCATAAGAATTGGGGTAGTAATATCACATATAGAAGGCAGTAAGGAGAGACCATTTGCATTCGCCTCAAGAACGCTAAATGTAGCCGAGAAAAATTAGAGCCAAATAGAAAGAGCTCTTGCTATCATATTTGGTGACTGCTAGAATACAAAGATGGACTATTTATTAGCAGGTTACCAATGTGAAATAGAATTTAAAAATAGTCGACAAATAGCCATGGTGACATGCTATCTCGATTTCCTAGACTGGGCACCACAATATTAAAAGAAGAATCAATAGATCAAATGCAGGTAGGAGAACAAACACCTTTGAATGAAAAATGAAATTGAAAGGAAAACAATACTAGATGAGGTACTTTCTAAAGTATACAGATATACAATAAACGGAGGGTGAATAAACTACCATACATGCTTAGGGGAGTATAGCCAAAAAAGGAGGGAATCACAAAAAAGTAGTTTATTTACTGTGGAGAACTAAATGATAATACTACAAATACCGAAACAACGTGTTAGACATAGTGTTGTAAACGAACGTATTTTGAACGCCTTCGTGAACGAAGTTCGCCTTTTTTTGAAAAAAATGAGTCGTTTTTGAGGAACTTTGAACGAGAACGCCTTAATTTTTTTGATGAACGCGTTAACTTTCATTCAATTTTACACTTTTTATTTTTTATTTATTTGAAAAATTTAATATTAGCCGAATTTTTTAAGAAAAATGTCTTACAATTTTTAATAAGCGGTTTTTCCTTTTTCACATTTCAATATTTTTAACACGCCATTATTATAGTTTTTGAATATTATTGTTTATATTTTAATTTAATAGATTAGCATAAGCATTTATTATTACCATCTAAATATGATAAATATTTTACAGTAACATCCTAATTTAAGGAACTAATTCAATACTTACCAAATGTAAAATATGGCCAAAAAGTATTATATCAGTTTCAAAATCTTCAAGTTCCAATTTAAAACGACATTTGGTTGTATATTAATTAGTCAGTTAATAATTTAGTAAATATAATTAAATTTTATATATTATATACATAGAATGAAAATGGTTGATATCATTTAGAATTTATTTTTAATGTCATTTTTTCAACTTAAAATTTAATCACTTTTTTATTTTAATCAAGGCTTTTATATTTTAATTGGAACACAATTTGAAGTATAAATTATGATATATTTTAATATAAAAATGACTTCTTTTATACCCAAGATTTTATATTTTTATAAAAATATTTAATATAAAATAATGATTTGTTTGTTATTCGATAAATTTTAATTTTAGATAAATTTTTTATAAGTCATTACTTTGCTATTACCAATTTAATAAAATATTATCATCTTTAGCATAATTTATCAAAAACTACCTTTATTTTTACAGAGTGCTCACGATGGTATGCTGCAAGAAATTAATGAATATTTAACAAATTATAGTGATAATAATAATAAAAAATTAAAAGCTGATAAATTAAACAACAAACTCT